GAACATGCATGAGTTGGGACAGACATACAGTTTGGGTAAACTTGCATCACTGTTAAAAGATGACACATCATTATCAGAGGAGGACATCAACAAAGTCTGTGAGTCTGTCAAAAGCTATGATCTTTTTTCTGCATGTCATACCGGGCTATTGAGGACAGTGCACTCCAGAGCTCAGATCTTTAAAAAAGCCTTCAACTATGCGGAACCAAAGAAAATATTTTTAGGGAGAGATGAAAACAGAAAAGATAGGTTTGCCTATTATGTGCCTTTAAGAGAGACTTTGAGATGTCTGCTAGAGTCTGATCTGTGGCAGAAATCAGAAGAGCCCTCTACTGAGCCTCCTGCTGATGTTCTGTGTGACATAAGTGATAGTAAGCTGTTTTAAATAAAATGATTTTTTTGGTCAAAACCCATTGACTTAATTGATTTCTATCCATTAACATCTTACATGAAGTATGGGTACCAAATGGTTCCATTGAAACACAGTGTGCTGTCACAATAATGGTGCTGTTAGTTTGGTACTTACGAAACACTGTATAAAAGTGTAGTATCAAGCAAGATCAGCTTCATATTTTAAGACCAAAGGTACCACTTGGTGTAAATTGACCTTTATTCACATTCTTTTATCAGACATCTTGGAAATGGGGGGCAGCATAAGGAGTTCCATTACTAAGGTGCTGCCGGACCTGTCTGCCTCAATCCTTGAAATTGTACTGGAGGCACTACAATCATTAGGAGTGGAGACATCTGAGAAACAAACCAGTAAGTATTATGATTTCATTGCACAATAGCCATGAAGGACTTTCTGTTTTTTCTATTATGCTTTGGCCAAGGTCCAAAAAGTACAATTAATCTATTGTTTGTGATATTGTTTTACAGCACCAAATATGGAAATTTCAAGCCAGGCCAGCATATCGTCTCCATCTGTTTTAAGGTTTAAGGGTGGTGGCACAGCTAAGACCCAAGAGTCTCTTTCAAGGTTAGTAAAGTAAACAGATTCAAGAAGATATTTTACACATTTCTTTGTCGTCTGTCTCTAAATCTTATTTTGTCTTTATTATGATTAAAAAGGTTTGTTTTGTTCCTGCCCTTTTCAGACACTGAATTTGAGCAGAAACCATAAGGATACTCAAAGGACCTGTGACTCTCAGGAAATGGTGAGATTTCAGGTCATAATCTTTTTTTTTTCCATTAAATTAATTTTCCTTTTTCCCTTTACAATATTGCTGTTTTGTTTTTGTAAACAGCATCAAATGAGAGAGACAGATGAAACAGTTTCAAGACAATGGCAGGAAAAAAATGCTGAAGATTGAAACAAACCTTGGCTGGAAATATTTGGTATGTGTTTTACCGTAAATCAAATTGTTGAAAAACATTCAGCTACACTGTAACACAGGGAAACTTGATTTGCACTTATTTTGTTACTTTAATTTCTTGTCTCATTATTTTTGTCAGTTATTATTGTTTATGGTGTATGCCCTTCTTGTTTTCCTTCTGAATGCAGAAGGTATCTAGCCAGTCCACAATGAAAGCTTCGTTGCACCCCATGAGTCTTCTGGCAGAAATGATGGCGGCTGTATTCTTTGGTTTCCCTAAACATCCCTGTTTATACGAGGCTCTTCAATTAAGTCTGCACCCAAAGATTCAATAAGAGGTAAGCAGTGGTATTATTCAAGTTTTGCTAAAGAAAGATGGACAGGAGACACTAATCTTAATCAGCCGAGCTCAGGTTCATGTCCAGGTGAGCAGTTTCATACGCTATAAAATGTAGATTGAATGATAGGTCTCATCACCATGCATTCAGCCATTAACTTCAAGTTCTATGATAAATCAATACGAAACTTAAATACGTTTTCCAACAAATTATGATTGTGATTAGGGCTGCGTTGTCTATGTATCACTTTTACATAAGTAGATTTAAAGTATAACTATTGCCAAAACGCAACCTGGGCTGTTTTTTTTGTTTTTTTTGTTTTTTTTACTGTATCGATTTTGATGTGCTCAAATTTATGCCCCGGCCCCCTAGTATTCCCATTCACTGGCTATTGACCACAAAACAAAATCACGGTCAATCTCAAAAACGGCTTGTTTGTCGTAATTATGCTTTTAGATATATGTTTGTCTCGTTTACAGTAAAAAAAAAAAAAAAACCTGAAAAAAACAGCCCAGGTTGCATTTTGACAATAGCTATCCTTTAAGAACTGTATATTTTACACTTAAGAAATCATTTATCATTAGATCTGGTTTTGGCAGCACGTTTTGTTCATTTCTGTGCATTTTGCTCAAGCACTGATCAAACTTTGTCCATTTTTTTTGCTGCAGAGGGGATCCTGCCAGTCCAAAGTGAACTCCTGATGGACATTGAAGTACTCCTGCAGAGCTTGTATCTTCAACACCATGCGCATTAGAAACTCCACCGAGTCCTTTCCTTCACCAAGGCAGGACCCAGTGACTCATTACTGTTGATAGGTCAGGGGCAGGTAATATTTTGTTTCATGTTTATTCATTCCTCCATGGATTACCAGCCATATATATGGACACATGCTGTATTCTCAAGATCTATGCTGTTTTGTAGGAATAGAGAAAATAATATGTTTAGTCTGTTTTCAAATGGTATGTCAAATTTTCTCATTGTTTATCAGTAATATTCTCTACCTTGGTTGTATATGAGCATCTTTAGATTTTTCTATATTTAGCGGTTGCAAATGTAAAATGTACAGTAAACCATTTATGTTCCTCATATTGTACTGTATTTTTAGCGGTAAAATACCGGCAGCTGTGGTTGCCAGGAATTTACCGTAAAATGTATCTGGTCAAAATAAAATGCTGTAATTTGTTATACAATTTCACTGTGTTTTTTACTGTCAAAGGTTTTAATAAGGTTTAACATATTTCTGTTATTTTTACAGTTATTTACAATAATAGGGTCTATCCTATTACTGTTAAATTAACAACAAATTACTGTAAATATTATATTATTACTTTTTTTTTTTTTACTGCAAATATCCGTAAAAAGCTATGGAAAGTTGCATTTTTTACATTAAATTGCTGTATAATTGACAAATATATTTGTTTTTTTCTATCATGATTTTGGTAAAATAATACGTTGTCTACCTTAAAAATTAGGGTTACAAAACCAGTATACCGTATTGTCTTTTACAGATTCCACATTTTTTACACGGTATATTCCTGGCAACCACAGCTGCCGGTATTTTACCGTAAATTTGACAGATTTTTTTTTACAGTTTAGCTTGTCATATTGCAGTCACAGAAACCATAAAGCTGCACTTTCTTTTTGCCTTATAGTCTGATTTGTCATAACTTTTCTGTTTTGTGGTCACTTCTTCACCCTGACCTGTCTTATTTGGCTCAGCAGGACTAAAATATATATCCTGCTGCTTTTACACATGCACTCACATAACGCTCAGCGATTCTCTGCACGATCAACCTCTCACATGTTTAAGCTTTCTGCGGGAGATTTCACTTGTCATGTTTGCATAGTAAGCTAATGATTGATAAGACAATGTCGGAGGAATTGGTGCGCAAATTATCGTCACTCACAGATCAGTGCTGTCGCTCTCTATACACAGTTCGCGCGATTGCAAAGTGAAAGCAAAAAACTAGTGCAAATTCAAACGCGATCTCAATATGTCACATATTGACAGTGGCTCACCGATGCCAATGACATAATTACCCAGCTATTTTTTCTGAAAGAATGCAAAAGCATTGACATATATTTTTCCTTCCTATGATAACCCGACGGGCAGGGCAGAGATAGATTTTGGCAGCCCGACTGGAAAAATCGCTAGCCCCGGGACGTCGGGCTAGCGATTTTGCGAGCCCTTAAAGGAGTCCTTATCACATGCATATCAATGTAATGAATATTAAATAAAGATGTAAAAAGGCAAAAGTAATCCATTTTATAATATGGCCAATGCCATATTGAAAATACAACATATTTTTAGAGTAAGATAGGAAAATATTGTTTGTTTTTCTGCAAAATTACCATGAAATTAGAGAATACTTCAAATTACTTATGCACAACTTAAGTTTACTTACAGTATTATTATTTCCTTGTTCATGTAAAAACATAAACCCTTTATTCTGGTCTGCCTACGTTTAAGTATTTAAGTGCAATTACATTATAATTTTAAATGTAACACATTGGAATTTCATTTAATTACAGGAATTTCCCCCTTAGTTTCGAGCCGTATTATAAAGTGCTATCCATAAAACCCCTAATTACTGTATCAATCTTGTTTATTAACACGGGCTTCCTGCTTCAGTCTCTGTGCATGCTGATGTAAAACGGGGTGTTTGAGTAAGAAAAATGATCACGGCAAAACACAACACAGGTCCTGAGAGAAAGGCAGAAGACCAGTGCTTCAGAAACCAGTTAATCCTAGTATGAGATGTGTTTTAAGTAGTCCAGAGTGTACTGTTGCAGTTATTGTTTCATCCCCAAAGTGTCAGCTGTTAAACTTTAAACTCGATCAATTTGAACACAAAGTTCTTAGAGGGCATTCAGGTGTGACACTCTTACAGAGAGCGCACAGAGATTTTAAAGTGGTTTTATTTATTTTTTTTATTTTTGGACAAATTAAAGTGAAATCATTCTCTGTATTGAATAGTCTTTACTACAGTGCTGTAACATATGCCAGATTTGACAGAACATTAAACCAAGCATAACAAACAAAAGTACATATACATGAATTTTCTGCATTTATTTCAGCAATTTATTGGCTTCTTTAGGTTCTATTACTTAAATACAGCTTAACAAACTGCATCTGAAAATTATCTTACCACAGCTCAGAATCTATATCGTAAGGATATCTCAATAAGACAGAGTGTGAACTTCCTGCTAGAGAAGTTTTCTTCACTAAGTTTAAGGACTGACTTAATCTGAGCACAGAATGTAAACAAACAAAGATGCTGGTATTCTGCTTAACTCTTACTCTGCTCTCTGTTGTTCTTCTCCACTTGTGGTTTTTCACTCACAGCTCAGAACCTCTTGTTTCTTCTGATTTGAAGGCACCATGAACAACACAGCAAACCTGACCTCTCATCAAGATTTGTGGCGCAATGTGACGATTGGAAACACCACCTGGGTTTACCGTCCTGCTGTGAACTCTGCTCTTAATGATGCCATTTCAGCAGTGGTTATAATCATAATCATCATCAACATGGTTTCACTTGGATGCACCATGGAGGTGTCTAAGATCAAGGTGACCAAGATCAGCAGTGAATTCAAATGTATATGTGGTTTGTGTATATGCAAAAAAGCATTGTGACAAAGCTTGAAAAAATTGCTAAAAGCTGTGGAAAGTCATTACGCCAGCTGAAATCAGTAAATAGAAAGCAATCCTGCCGCTTAATGCAAACTAATTTCAGCAGTTTCAGTCCCAAGCCTATAAAAAGGTGTCTCATTACCAAGGTGTCACACAAGAAACATCAGATGAAGGGTAAAACCAACAAGATTTCTCAAGACCTTCGCAGCCTTATTGTTCCAAAACATAGTGATGGCATTAGTTACAGATAAATGTCTAAACTAGCGAAGGTTCCAGTGTAGCACTATTGGGGCCATAATTTGGAAGTGGAAAGAACACAATTTCACCATAAAATGGACATGACCAGGTGCTACCAGACAGACGAGAGAAAATAAACATCAGAAGAGCTCAAGTCCAAGAGTCAAGGACAGAAAGACCTGGAATCAGCAGGTACGATTGTTTCAAAGAAAACAATACGTAATGCATTAAAACGCCATAGTCTGTAAGCATGCTCATGAAGCAAGACTCCATTGCTGAACAGAAAGCATTTTGAAACATGTTCAAAGTTTGCTGAACAAAATTTAGACACATCTGTGAAATACCGGGGGAATATAATTTGGTCAGACCAAAACAGAACTCTTTGGATGCCGTAATGCACACCATGTTTGGAGGTCAAAAGGCACTGCACATTACCCTAAAATCACCATACCGACAGTGAAGTTTGAAGGTGGGAACATCATGGAGTGGGGGTATTTTTCAGCATATGGCATTGGCATGCTTCATATAATTGAAGGAAGGATGAATGGAAAAATGTACCGGGACATTGTTGATGAAAATCTGCTGTCATCTACCAGGATGATGACGATAAAACAAGGGTGGACGTCCCAAACACAGATCCAAGGAAACTCTGTTAGTTATGGATATGCCTGGTTTAAATTTCTTTGTGTGGATTGGATGGGTTGTTAGTAACATCTGCCTTTGAAATGATGTCAGTACCACCTTTAGAAATATATTCACTTAGCAAATTGGTAAAGTGTTCAATACTTATTCAATACTGCCTTTGAAATGGCAAGGTGTCACCTGAGTGAGCCGGAATAGGTGGCAAGAGTGAGGCAAGACTATGCTTCTCTGCTCCGACTGCTGCCCCATGACCTGAACCTGGATAAGCATCAGGAAATGGAAGGAAGTAAGGAAGGAAGGAAGGACTGATTATTTTTACTCAAACTGGAATAAAATCTTCAAATATTTACAGATACAGGATTTTGGAATAATACTTATTGCTATGAATACAGAAAACTGAAAGTTTACCTTTTTGAATTGAAATGAACTTTTTAACATTTTGAAGTGTGTTTATATATCCAGTGATATTATTTCTGATCAGTTTTCTACCTTCTTCTGTTTCCAGTATCACCTCATGAAACCTAAGGGGGTGGCTATTGCAGTTGTGTCCCAGTATGTGATCATGCCTCTTACAGCCTTTTGCTTGGCTAAGGTTGGTATTACGTTAAATAAGATTAGAAATAATACTTCATATAAAGTTAGTTCCCCACAAAATCTTTGAAGAGATTCATAATAAAAATAAGAAAACTATACAAACTGACTTAACCAGAAAGAAGATTAATATTAAAATAAATCAATTTAAAAAAAAAAAAAAGCATTTTCTTTTTCCATGCTGTCGGCATACTTCACAAGAGCTCTCTTTTTGGGTAATAAAGATCTTTATGATATAAAGGGGCCTGATTATTCATGATTTTTTTATGTGAGGAAAATCATTTTAAATTCAATTCTGAATTTAACAGGGAACCAATGAAGAGAAGCTAATATGAGGGAAATCTGATTTCTCTTTCCAGTGTCATTTAGTACTCTCGTTCTTCACCCTATAATACATAGTGGCCCAATATAATTGAATTTGTGTTGCTGTACCAGAATATAACTGACACCAGATCAGCACTTGTATCACTGTTAAACCTTGTTACTGGCACCCTGTAAGAGGTTATTGTGATTTTGTGTTACAGGGGTTCCAGTTGAGTGATATAACAGCTGTGAGTGTTCTGGTCTGTGGCTACTGTCCTGGAGGACAGTTCTCCAACACATTGACTCTGGCACTAAAGGGGGACATCAACCTCAGGTACACATGAGAAGTTATATTCTTGTAATACATTTATATAAAAAATGTAATTTGAGGTGATCATAACCCTTGTCTTTCCCTTCAGCATCGTGATGACTTCCTGCTCCATGTTGTTGGCTATGGGTATGATGCCTCTCCTGCTCTACATCTACTGCAAGGGTTTCCCCAGTGTGCGGAACGCTGTCCCGTATGTTCAAATCATCTTATCGTTGGTCTTGACCCTTGTCCCGTGTGGCATCGGCATCCTCATCAACACCTACAGGCCGCAGTATTCAAAGAGGGTCACAAAGGTTTGTGAAGAGAATGAAGGTCAGACAGATCACTAGAACTGATTAACAGTGTTGATTAATCAGTTGGTGCAGGGATGGCAAATAAAGACTTTAATAACTGATATTTGTTATATTGTTTAACAAAAAACAAAAGACAACAGAAAACCTCACCTTCAGCACACTCCAGACATCAGTCTTAACACTTTAATGAAGCTTTGCTGTGCTGTGTTTGTAGTGTGTTTGTGTTTGTGTTTGTGTTTACTTCAACAGAAACAGACATTTGCAATTTATGTGCACACAGCATGTGAGCAACATTTAAAAACCTCTTGAAGATCTCCAGACATCATGCTCTTAGGGAGGTGACGGGTGGTCGCAACTTTTCTTACAGTGGGAGAGGGGCAAGGATGAGCTTGGCTGAAGGTATAGAGATATATGATGTTCTGTTCAATGTTCTTTGTGTAAGAGTGTCTGTGATAGGGTATATAAGATGTAAGGGCGGTGGCCACAATTCAGAGATGATCCTAGTGTTTTGGCTGGGATGTTTCTCTCCATATTGCAATATGTTATTAAACAATTTCAAAACGCTCACCTGGTTTGTTGCAGGTCATTGTTAAAATTTCCATAACAATTTGGCGTTGTCGAGCAGGGTTCCTCATGTTACAGGTATAGCCCTTTAATGAAGGCTGTGGAAGGATGTGTGGGACTGCTCCTGGAGGTGTGTGTCTGAGTGAGGGAGCGAGGAAAACAAGGGGATCACGAGTATCTACGGAAGAAACAGAAAGTAAAGGCATTAAAAAATATAACAACTCCCACAGCAGCCCGAGGTGTGTGCGATGCTCGTTCTGAGTAAATTGTTGGAGCCCACTGTACACGGTGTTTACGCCTTGGAAGAAAATAAAGTTCCGGTGAAGCAGTTTTCCTATGCCTCCTTCTGTCTCTTCAATAGCAAAGTTGACCTGTGCAGTAAGCTTGTTACCGACTACGAGCCAGTCACGGAACCCGAAGTAACAGCCAGAGGTCTTCTTACTACGGTTTGGGGCCATGGACCTGGTGAGGCAACACTAGGGGCTCTTTTCCAGGATTAAACTCTGCAAAGTGCCAAGAGAGAAGGGGAGCAAACTTTATTTTTTCTCAGACAGCAGAGAGAATGGGGGCGCCGGGCGATGCTGAAGGGGACGACAAGGTAATACACTTCAATAACATTAGCAACCCATTTTTGTCAGAATGCCCATGAAGTGGCAAAGTTAATATGGACCGTGCTAATGACAGAAACAATAAGATCTGTAGTGGCAACCCCTTCATCACAGGCATGGAACTAACGTCAATGGCAAGCGTAGCAGCAGCCAATATGACAGGATTTGAAGCTGCATGGCATCTCACCCCGCCACTTTCAACTCACACCAACCCTTTCTTAACCCCAGTAGCAAAGCAGAATGCAGTGTGTAGCGAGTTTAAGCAGTTTTAGTACTCAGATTGTGAAGGCCCTGGAAATATTACATCTACACCACTTACAGTGGGACAGCATGGCACACATGATCACCTTTCTTGGATTATTACATCCCCCTCATGCAGCCAGCCATTCATCACCATGAACTGTACCTGCAATGTCCCTATAAAACCACAGTTTACTGAGAGCAGCCCCGGTTTCACACACGTTGCCCATTGCGGACTGGCAGGCCTGCTGAGGTACTATGGTGATGTCTTCTCCACTGGCCCAAATGACCTTGGTCGCATCAGTGTCGTCCAGCATGACATCTTGACCACACCAGGTTCACCAGTTAAACACTCGCCATGCAGGATGGCAACAAATAGTGGCCAACCAGCAAGTACAGCAGAGCCTAGAGGCTGGGTCAGCTCAGCCTAGCAATAGCAGCTGGGCTGTTCCAATTGTGATGGTGAAAAAGAAAGATCAGAGTCCCCAACTGTGTGTGGTCTATAGACCACTAAATGAGCGAACTCTTAAAGACGCTTGACCCCCGCCACACATCCAGGATACCCTTGACACGCTTTCTACTGCCAAGTACTTCAGTACACTAGACCTGACATCAGGATACTGGCAGGTAGAGATGGGCTCCAGAGCCTGAAAAGATAAGATAAGATACCTTTACGGGTACAAAAAGCAGCTGCATTTTGTACCCGTAAGGGATTGTTCTAGTGGAATGTGATGCCTTTTAGGCTATGCAATGCACTGGCCACATTCCAAAGGCTTATGGACAGAGTCCTGGCTGGGCTGCAATGGGAGACGTGTTTAATGTACCTTGATGACATCATTGTCCTGGGTCAGGTTAGCACCCAGATCCTGGATCGGCTCGAGCAAGCGTTCATCATATTGCGTGGAGCCAATCTAAAACTGAAGCCATCTAAATGCTGCCTGTTCCGGGAGCAGGTTGCCTATCTGGGCCAAATCATCTCTGCTGGAGGTATTTCCACAGATTCCCAGAAAATTCAACAAGTGATGGAATGGCCTGCACAGCGGACCGTCACAGCGGCAGTACAGCAGCCCCTGTCCTGGGTTACCCTCTGGACCAGGGTGACTTGTTCCTCGACACTGATGCCAAAGATTGTTGGATCGGAGCAATCCTTTTCCAAGTGCAAGGGGGCGAAGAGCAGACCCTGACTTATTGGAGCAGGTGGCTGTCAGCTACCGAACAAAACTACTGCACGACCAGGCGAGAGGTTCTAGCAGTTGTGGCATTCACTTCCCACTTCAGACAGTATCTGCTGGGTAGGCCATTCACTGTCCAGACTGACCATAGCAGCCTTTGCTAGCCTTAGAGATAGGGCGAGAAGTTCAGCCATCAGGGAGGGGCTCAGAGTAGAGCAGCAACTCTTCCACATCGAAAGGCACCAGTTGAGGTGGTTTGGGCATCTGAGAAGGATGCCTCCTGGGTGCGGTGTTCCAGGCATGTCCCACCGGGAGGAGATTATATCTCTCAGCTGGCCTGAGAACGCCTTGTTCTGCCGGACAAGCTGGAAGGTGGCTGGGGAGAGGGAGGTCTGGGCTTTCCAGCGGCTGCTGCCCCCGCAACCTGGTCCCGGAGAAGTGGAAGAAGATGAATGGATGGGATGGACCAGCAACATACAAGATATTTGTCACAATTTTGTATATAAATAAAAAACAAACAAAAGCTGATATATATGTATATATGACATTTTGCAGAGAATGTCACAATTTATTAATAAAAACACAGTAAATAGTGGTGACAAAATTGGGCTTGAAGGCTTTGAAGGCCTGATTTACTCCTTGAATCATACATTTAATTTATCTCTGAGACAATTAAAAAAAGAAGAAACAGACAAAAATGAGAGGTTTGCGGGTAAGTACATGGACTCGAACACCACCAACAACAAGCCGCTCTGGTCTTTCGGGAGCTTTCAATTGATCGTGATTTCCACCCATGACTTCACATATAATATCCAAGTACAGCACACACACAAACCACTCCAGCTGTACAGATACCAAACACAATATGTAGATTACTTGTGGTCGGAACAACATATATGTTCTGAGATGAAAATATTACTTCTAAATAGAGGAGACATTATTTAAAAACTAAAATAAAGTGTCTTGTAGTGCTATAGTATTATAATATTCTATTTTATTTTAGTTTTATTTGGAGGAGGATGGTCTCCTCTGTAGGTGCTGAAGTCAGCTGTGCACTAGATGGCACCTGTGGACAACCAGAGGCCTCCATGTGTCATTTGAATCATATAAAAGGAGTGGCAACACAAAAGGAGTTTATTTTATGACAAAGAGATGAGAGCAGAGCAAAGGAAGAATCTGACCTAAAAGGTAAACCAAGCATTGAATACACCTGTAAACATATCTGTCAACTGTTTATTTCTTGAAAATCATCGTGAGTTTTTTCATTTTTTCTGCTTTCTGCAGAATAACTATTAGGTTTAGGTGTGCAATTCTCACCTGCAGCAAACTCCAGAAGTCAGTCTTGACTTTTTTATCAAGCATTGGTGGGCTATAGTGTTTTTTCATACAGCACAAAATGAATAGAAAACACACATGTGCAATCTTGTGAAAGCAATTTGTGTGCACACAGCATGTGGACAAAGGAGTGCGCAATTTGAAACAATTAAATGCTGCGTGTTGTTTCTCAGTAGTGCACAGGTTAACCAGATTGAAGTAGCTTCCAGTGAGGAATATGCATTGTTTAGTTAATTACTTAATTAGTTAGTTAAACATGTTGTACCCAAGTGTTAAAAGTCAAGAAAAGATTCAGTGTATTTGCACCGTATGTATGTATGTTAGAAATGGAGAAGAAAGTGAACTTTTAAATCACTTGAATTAAATTCCTGCAGGACATGTTCTGTTTCTAGCTTAAATTAACTCTGCGCCATTCCTAAAATTACTTTTACTGAAACATCAGCTTGTTCCGCATGATCATTTTGACACAGCCAACCTTACATAATCTATCATGTAGTCGTCTTCTAACAAATGGGACGAACAAAGGTTATCTTATCTGGTAATCTTATCTTTACATTGGGAAGCAAAATCTGAGTTTACAGCACCATATATGTCTTGAAAGACGTTCCAAAAGAACTTTGAGGCATTTCAAATTTTGACAGTTTGCAGCACATGTAACTTTGATTTTCAAAGCTGGCAAAGTTTTTGTATTGCAATTAATTTTAAGTGGTGTCTAAATTCTGGGTAGTCTCAAGGATAGGAGACAAACTATACTGTAAGTAATTTTAAGTATTGCATAATGTCTTGTTAATTTTGTGGAAAATCTCTTCATCTTACAGTTGTTGTTTCAACTTGTAAATGCGTTATCATTTCCGAGATGTGGGCTGTATAATGGAGCAGAGTAACATTGCTGGTTTCTTACAGGAAAGGAGACCCTCCTTTGTGAACAGTGATTGTAAAAAACAAACAAATTAAATTAGACGTGGCTCCATCATTATAAGGTCATAAGCCTGCAAATTTTGTTGGTATTAAGTTTTTCTTAAACTTTGGTAAGGGAAAACAGTCCTCAATCTCATGCACATCAGTGTAGTGAGTATTAAATACAGATGTTAAAAAAATGATGTAAAAGGTCAAATTATGCATTTCATAATATGACCAACACCCTGGAAAATACAACATATTTTCAGAGTAAGATAGGAAAATATTGTTTGTTTTTCTGCAAAATTACCATGAAATTAGAGAATACTTCAAATTACTTATGCACAACTTAAGTTTACTTACAGTATTATTATTTCCTTGTTCATGTAAAAACATAAACCCTTTATTCTGGTCTGCCTACATTTAAGTATTTAAGTGCAATTACATTATAATTTTAAATGTAACACATTGGAATTTCATTTAATTACAGGGGAATTTCCCCCTTAGCTGCGAGCCATATTATAAAGTGCTATCCATAAAACCCCTAATTATCAATCTTGTTTATTAACACGGGCTTCCTGCTTCAGTCTCGGTGCATGCTGATGTAAAACGGGGTGTTTGAGTAAGAAAAATGATCACGGCAAAACACAACACAGGTCCTGAGAGAAAGGCAGAAGACCAGTGCTTCAGAAACCAGTTAATCCTAGTATGAGATGTGTTTTAAGTATTCCAGAGTGTACTGTTGCAGTTGTTGTTTCATCCCCGAAGTGTCAGCTGTTAAACTTTAAACTCGATCAATTTGAACACAAAGTTCTTAGAGGGCATTCAGGTGTGACACTCTTACAGAGAGCGCACAGAGATTTTAAAGTGGCTTTATTTATTTATTTTATTTTTGGACAAATTAAAGTGAAATCATTCTCTGTATTGAATAGTCTTTACTACAGTGCTGTAACATATGCCAGATTTGACAGAACATTAAACCAAGCATAACAAACAAAAGTACATATACATGAATTTTCTGCATTTATTTCAGCAATTTATTGGCTTCTTTAGGTTCTATTACTTAAATACAGCTTAACAAACTGCATCTGAAAATTATCTTACCACAGCTCAGAATCTATATCGTAAGGATATCTCAATAAGACAGAGTGTGAACTTCCTGCTAGAGAAGTTTTCTTCACTAAGTTTAAGGACTGACTTAATCTGAGCACAGAATGTAAACAAACAAAGATGCTGGTATTCTGCTTAACTCTTACTCTGCTCTCTGTTGTTCTTCTCCACTTGTGGTTTTTCACTCACAGCTCAGAACCTCTTGTTTCTTCTGATTTGAAGGCACCATGAACAACACAGCAAACCTGACCTCTCATCAAGATTTGTGGCGCAATGTGACAGTTGGAAACACCACCTGGGTTTACCGTCCTGCTGTGAACTCTGCTCTTAATGATGCCATTTCAGCAGTGGTTATAATCATAATCATCATCAACATGGTTTCACTTGGATGCACCATGGAGGTGTCTAAGATCAAGGTGACCAAGATCAGCAGTGAATGCGAATGTATATGTGGTTTGTGTATATGCAAAAAAGCATTGTGACAAAGCTTGAAAAAATTACACGTAAGCAGGATTTTCGAGGATGTCCTTATGCCTGACAACACATTCCAGTTCCTGCAAGGAAATGCTGGCCATGTTTAGATAAAAAGGATAAAATAAGTAAATATGGTTAATGTGAAATTCTCACCACATGTCGGCAGCAAACCATGCAATCCATTCATGAGAAATGACACAGGGATAAAAGTTGTAAACACATAAACATGAAGAAAAGGAGGTGCTAAAAGCTGTGGAAAGTCATGACGCCAGCTGAAATCAGTAAATAGAAAGCAATCCTGCAGCTTAATGCAAACTAATTTCTGCAGTTTCAGTCCCAACTGAGCCTATAAAAAGGTGTCTCATTACCAAGGTGTCACACAAGAAACATAAGATGAAGGGTAAAACCAACAAGATTTCTCAAGACCTTCGCAGCCTTGTTGTTGCAAAACATAGTGATGGCATTAGTTACAGATAAATGTCTAAACTAGCGAAGGTTCCAGTGTTGCACTGTAGGGGGCATAATTTGGAAGTGGAAAGAACATAATTTCACCATAAAATGGACATGACCAGGTGCTACCAGACAGACGAGTGAAAATAAACATCAGAAGAGCTCAAGTCCAAGAGTCAAGGACAGAAAGACCTGGAATCAGCAGGTACGATTGTTTCAAAGAAAACAATAAGTAATGCATTAAAACACCATAGTCTGTAAGCATGCTCATGAAGCAAGACTCCATTGCTGATGAGAAACCATTTTGAAACATGTTCAACGTTTGCTGAACAAAATTTAGACACATCTGTGAAATACCGGGGGAATATAATTTGGTCAGACCAAAACAGAACTCTTTGGATGCCGTAATGCACACCATGTTTGGAGGTCAAAAGGCACTGCACATTACCCTAAAATCACCATACCGACAGTGAAGTTTGAAGGTGGGAACATCATGGAGTGGGGGTATTTTTCAGCACATGGCATTGGCATGCTTCATATAATTGAAGGAAGGATGAATGGAAAAATGTACCGGGACATTGTTGATGAAAATCTGCTGTCATCTACCAGGATGATGACGATAAAACAAGGGTGGACGTCCCAAACACAGATCCAAGGAAACTCTGTTAGTTATGGATATGCCTGGTTTAAATTTCTTTGTGTGGATTGGATGGGTTGTTAGTGACATCTGCCTTTGAAATGATGTCAGTACCACCTTTAGAAATATATTCACTTAGCAAATTGGTAAAGTGTTCAATACTTATTCAATACTGCCTTTGAAATGGCAAGGTGTCACCTGAGTGAGCCGGAATAGGTGGCAAGAGTGAGGCAAGACTATACTTCTCTGCTCCGACTGCTGCCCCATGACCTGAACCTGGATAAGCATCAGGAAATGGAAGGAAGGAAGGAAGGAAGGAAGGAAGGAAGGACGGACTGATTATTTTTACTCAAACTGGAATAAAATCTTCAAATATTTACAGATACAGGATTTTGGAATAATACTTATTGCTATGAATACAGAAAACTGAAAGTTTACCTTTTTGAATTGAAATGAACTTTTTAACGTTTTGAAGTGTGTTTATATATCCAGTAATATTATTTCTGATCAGTTTTCTAACTCCTTCTGTTTCCAGTATCACATCATGAAACCTAAGGGGGTGGCTATTGCAGTTGTGTCCCAGTATGTGATCATGCCTCTTACAGCCTTTTGCTTGGCTAAGGTTGGTATTACGTTAAATAAGATTAGAAATAATACTTCATATAAAGTTAGTTCCCCACAAAATTTTTGAAGAGATTCATAATAAAAATGAGAAAACTATATAAACTGACTTAACCAGAAAGAAGATTAATATTGAAACAAATCAATTTAAAAAAAACAAAAAGCATTTTCTTTTTCCATGCTGTCGGCATACTTCACAAGCAGAGCATTCTCACTCCCGAGGCGTAACATGTCGACGTTTTGTCACATCCCCCGGCGTTCCTGAGGAACGCGAAAGGAGACCTTCGGCGTTCTTATGGTACGCGGCGGGTTATGGCTGGAATCCAGTGCAATGACGCTCCCGCGGGAGTAGACATTCCAGCCCTGTATTCCAGCCCTAAACCTAACCTTATCCCTAGCCCTGACCATAACCTTATTCCTGACCTTAACCAGGACTTTAATGATGTTAAATAGCGTGTTTCTAAGCGATTTGAAGAAAAAGAGCGAACATGTGTAGGTTCAGTCCAGACGGTTCTCATATTTCCTCTTTTTCCGAGGTCGTCATTTAGGAACGTGGTGGGTAGCCGAAAACGTAATATGGTGACGATTTGTCACCTAGCGTAAAATGTTACGCTTTGGGAGTGAGAATGGGTTGTCACAAGAGCTCTCATTTTGGGTAATAAAGATCTTTATGATATAAAGGGGCCTGATTATTCATGATTTTTTTATGTGAGGAAAATCATTTTAAATTCAATTCTGAATTTAACAGGGAACCAATGAAGAGAAGCTAATATGAGGGAAATTTGATTTCTCTTTCCAGTGTCATTTAGTACTCTTGCTCTTCACCCTATAATACATAGTGGCCCAATATAATTGAATTTGTGTTGCTGTACCAGTATATAACTGACACCAGATCAGCACTTGTATCACTGTTAAACCTTGTTACTGGCACCCTGTAAGAGGTTATTGTGATTTTGTGTTACAGGGGTTCCAGTTGAGTGATATAACAGCTGTGAGTGTTCTGGTCTGTGGCTGCTGTCCTGGAGGACAGTTCTCCAACACATTGACTCTGGCACTAAAGGGGGACATCAACCTCAGGTACACATGGGAAGTTATATTCTTGTAATACATTTATATTAAAAATGTAATTTGAGGTGATCATAACCCTTGTCTTTCCCTTCAGCATCGTGATGACTTCCTGCTCCATGTTGTTGGCTATGGGTATGATGCCTCTCCTGCTCTACATCTACTGCAAGAGTTTCCCCAGCGTGCGGAACGCTGTCCCGTATGTTCAAATCATCTTATCGTTGGTCTTGACCCTTGTCCCGTGTGGCATCGGCATCCTCATCAACACCTACAGGCCACAGTATTCAAAGAGGGTCACAAAGGTTTGTGAAGAGAATGAAGGTCAGACAGATCACTAGAACTGATTAACAGTGTTGATTAATCAGTTGGTGCAGGGATGACAAATAATGACTTTAATAACTGATATTTGTTATATTGTTTAACAAAAAACAAAAGACAACAGAAAACCTGTGGATTCTGTCATCTTAAATATTAGGATTTACTGATTGTTTTTCACTTGACAGACAGAGAAATTGAATAACTCTAGACATCAAGCTGTGAACTGATACAATTCCAGAGACTTGATAATTCGTAAGGCTTTGGAGACTTTGGACACACATCAGATCTCCAAAGAAAAAAGCATGCTGAATATCTATAATAATGTTAAATGGGTAATGTGTTAGGAATGAAGAAATTCCATCTGATGGAAACGAGAATCATTAACCTATAGAGGTGAATTCAAAGACACCCGAAAATCAAAGAAAAAAGAATATGTAAAAGGTTAGTGCATTTTGCTCAAATTTCATTGTAGTTTGTAGCTTGTCTAAGGATCTCAAACAAATACCTAATGGTAGTCAGAGTGCTGTTGCCTAGCCTGTAGAGGTCTCTGCATTCCTTTGATAAGCCCCCGCTAACCATCACTGACCCACCTGCTCTCATCTGTGAAAAGCACAGGGTGGACCTGCCAATTCCGGCATTCCATGGCAAATGTCAAATGAGGCTCCACAGCGTCAGGGAATGAGCAGAGGTGTCACGGTCTGCGGCGGGCGGACCGTGTGTGGGAGTGTGAGGTTCCAGGTGCAGACATAGACGAAGAGACAGTACTGAACTTGAAACGAAAAGCGAGCCTTTATTTGGGCTGATTAACGTGGAAAACAACAGAAAGTACAGAGGCAAAACTAAACTAGAAGCTGAACTGGGAAAACTAAGAACTGACACTAAACTCAGACAGCAGGGAAAGTGAAGACAGGGTGACAACGATGCATATGGGAGACTACTATGAACAGGACTCTGTGCTGGAACAACAAAGAACTATGAAACGTATACTGTACACGTAAGCAATATGACCAGCACAGAGTCCGGAAACCTGGCGTAACATGGGGGAAGTTGAACAGACGACGCGGCCACGAACAAAGGAAGACTGAGGACTTAAATACACACATGAGGTGATCAGGGGAAGTGGAGACACATGAGAACACAGCTGACTAGAAGGAAACATAATGACAATACAGGGGAGAGTAACACTAACTACAATGAACAAAGAACACCATACTCTTTCAAACTAAAACAGGAAACACAGAGACATAGACATGGAGATAGAACATGAACTTAACCTAACCAGAGACATGAAACATGACAGGTAGACACACGGACCAGGGAGAGATGACAAAAGGGACTAAGAAACCAAGGACTAAACTGCAAACTAGAAAACAACTAGATGCGTTAAACTACACATGTGGATATAAAAAATATATATTAGAACTTAAACACTGGGCCTCATGGCCCAGTACCGTGACAAGAGGGCCCACTAGAGGACGTCTGGCCCTCAGGCCACCCTTATGAAAGAGACATTCACACAATTTTATAGGGCTCTGACAATGCTCATCCCGTTCCTCCTTGCACAAAGGAGCAGATACAGGTAGAGCAGGGGAAGCTACCTGAACGCTACTCCCACAGAGGTCATTATATTTTTAATAATTTTACATCTTCACTCCGTACAACACTCTAGCTCCTCTGGAAAAAAGAAAAAGACTCAAATAGGAAGTACTTGACTCCCTGGTATAACTTTCAAACGGGCATCTTAAAGCAGATAACTCGTAGGCTGGAGAGGAAATGGTGTCTCACTCATTTACAGGATCAGCCAGGAAAATATTTTTTGGCTCAATAAAAAAAGAGGATTTAAAATCCTCCTGATCACATACAAGGTCTTAAATCTTGAATCGACTTTTAAGACTTCGTAATACCATTTCACCTTAATAGAGAACTTCTGCTCTCAGACTGCAGGCTTAGTTGTGGTTCCCAGAGTATTTAAAAGTAGAATGGGAGGCAGAGCCTTCAGCTGTCAGGCTGTTGCCTCTTCTGTGAAACCAACTCCCAGTTTGGATTCGGGAGATGGACACCCTCTCTATTTTTTAAGATTAAGCTTAAAACTTTTGACAAAGCTTATAGTTAGGGCTGGATCAGGTGATCCAGAAGCCTCCCTTAATTATGCTGCAATAGGTCTAGGACATAGGTGTCAAACTCAAACTGGCCTACTTACATTTGGCCCGTGAAGCCATACCAAATTACTATCAGAGAGGGCCTACTGGTATTATACAGCTAATATATATATTGTTTAGTATTAAGCTTTGCTTGAGTCCATAAGAAAAGATTCATTCTCATATCTGGAGGAATAAATATATTTCAATAAATATTAACGTTAGCCCGCGACTTTGTTCCAGTTTTGAATTTTGGCCCACTTTGTATTTGATTTTGACACCCCTGGTCTAGGATGTTGGGGCTTCTGATGAAGTGTTTCTTCTTTACTTACTATGTGTTTATACACCACTCAGCATTTAATCATTGGTTATTATTAATCGATGGCTTGTGACTTTGTCCTGTTTTCCTCCTCTCAATCCGAACTGGTCACAGCAGATGGCCACCCCTCAGTGATCCTGGTTTTGCCGGAGGTTTCTTCCTGTTAAAAGGGAGTTTTTACTTTCCTCTGTGGCCAAAGCGATTGCTCATAGGGGTCATATGATTATTGGGGTTTTCTTTGTTTTCAATGTATTATTGTAAGGTCTTTACCTTACAATATAAAGTGCCTTGAGTTGCCTCAATTCAACTTGAGTTTAGTTGAATTGACAACAGTCAGAAATGATGAGGTTGGAAAAATCCCAATGGCCTCCATTTCTGTTTTGAGTGTTGTCTTGTTGATTTCATCAACATCCGAGCCACTAAAACCAATTAACAACCCCCTCTGCTACTTAACTGATCAGATCAATATCCCAGAAGTTTCATTTACTTGATACTATACTCTGAAAAGTATTCCTTTAATTTTTTGAGCAACATAGAACCGAAAAAGAAGTCAAACACTGATTTATTCCCTCTCTTGTTTCTGTTGTTAGGTAGGCATGATTATCTTGCTGATTTTTACTGTGGTGACCTTGACCTTAGCTATTATTGCAAACGGACGCTACATCCTGACTGTGCTGTCTCCTTCACTCTTGGCCATCGCTGGTCTCATGCCTTTGATAGGCTACTGCTTTGGATATGTCTTCTCTGCGATCTTCAGACTCAGCCAAAGGTAGGTTATTTGGTTATTCAGTCATTGATCGATATTATCGACATTGATGATCCTATGAGGTTTGGAAAAATATATAGATAGATCTCTCTCTCTATATATATATAGAGAGAGACAGACACACAGGCAGGTAGATAGATATGACTTGTAAATAATCCTTCCATATGCCTTCAGGGAGCGGAGGACCGTTTCCATGGAAACAGGCTGTCAGAATATTGTGCTGTGCGCCACCATATTGAAGGTAGCCTTCCCTATCGAAGTGGTGGGTCCTCTGTATCTATTCCCGGTAGTCTACTTTGTGTTTCAGTTCTTCGAGGCGGCGATGATCATCATGCTGTTTTGGTGCTACCAAAGGTTCAAGAAAAAGGAGAAAGGTAAGAGTGACAGCAGGTTTCAGAGGTTACATTTTACCACAGGCCTTTTATTACACAAGATAAAAAAAAAACAAGAGTTTACAGATGTCTGGCTGATCATTATTTCACAAAAATTCAACTGTGAATTGATCAAGTGTGGGTTGACTCACTGAACTACATCCAGGTTGCAGCATCTCAGATTGGAGGTGTAACTACAGGGGTCCAACAAAGAATGGCCATCTCAGGGACAGTTACAGGAGGGTTTGCATTACTGAAGTTGCCATATTTCAAATATATTAGATTAAACATCGACCGTGGCTCAGGGGGTTGGGAATCGCATCTGTAACCGGAAGGTCGCCGGTTCGATCCCTGGGCTCTCTGTCCTGGTCGTTGTGTCCCTGGGCAAGACACTTTACCCTACTTGCCTACCGGTGTTGGCCAGAGGGGCCGATGGCGCGATATGGCAGCCTCGCTTCTGTCAGTCTGCCCCAGGGCAGCTGTGGCTACAACTGTAGCTTGCCTCCACCGTCCAAAGACATGCAGCTTGAGGGGATAGGTTAATTGATTAATCCAAATTGCCACTAGGTGTGAATGTGCGAATGAATGTGAGTGCGAATGGTTGTCTGTCCCTGTGTGTCCAGGGTGTACCCTGCCTCTCGCCCTATGACAGCTGGGATAGGCTCCAGTGCCCCCCGCGACCCTGAAAAGGATAAGCGGAAGCGAATGGATAGATTAAACATTTTTAAATTTTGTGTTTGAAGAAATAGTACTTTTAGCACTACACAAGCATAGAGCAGAAAAATACAGATATATTCTTTATTGTACCTTTATGGGCTTGTAAATTGGGCGATACCTTCTAAGGTACTCTTGTTGTTCCCTTTCATGTTGTAGGTTATGGTGACCAGTCTTGAACCACTAATGGCAATATTATACTCATGTACTGGTACCCAAACTGACCTTTCTAAAAAGGTGCCACGTTAGATACAGTGTAATTTATTCTATATATTCTCCAGCCGGCTCAGGGAGCGGCAGCTATCTGCAGCGATTGGTTGGGTTGTAGTGGAGGAAGACCTAGTTTACCTAGTTATTCTAGACACAGGAACTTGAATACATAGTACATTACTAAACACACAGTCTGTGGTTGAAGCAGCAGAAAAAAAAGAGGCAGAGAAAATGAACAATTCCACCATCAGGTGTGGATGAGCGAAAACAATACACAAAATTGTGACCTGAGTCGTAACAAACTGCAAGCACCAATGAGCCCACAAAAAGGTTTCTGGCTAAGCGTCTCTGCTGCCTGTTCTTGTTTTCAATTCTACACACGAAAAAAATGGCAAAACGGCGCCAAAACACTCCATAGAAGAATAACTTTGTGATTGTGTTTTGTTGACCAAATTTTAGAATTTTACATCTAACCACAGATTGAGCAACTTTTGTGTCAAATCTTGGTTTGTGTTAACGCATCTGCTTATCTGATCCACAGAGCCTTACCAGCCTGCGGCCACTGGAGAGGATTTGAAAGAGTCTGATGTGTGATGTCAATTACCACTCATATATTTCTCTATTAGCGTGCACTGTTACACCAAAGGGGCTCCAGATGAAGGAGACAAAATCATACAGCTTACTGAACAAACAGAAAAATGTGCAACTGTATTTCTTGATTATTATACCATCTTGTTATGAAACTTGTTAATGTTGCAGTAACTTCATTTACAAAGCACCAGTGAAAAGAAAATCCAGTTTTAAATAAATTTTTGAAAAATTAGAGGTCTCTTTTCCTATGTCATACAAACACAACATTTTAGCTTAAAATAAATTCATTATGTACATAAATGTACTTTTTCCAAGATCTTGTCCACCAAGTACCAACATTATCACTGAGAGAGAAGCTATGGAAGCATCTAAAAGAAGCATCAAAAGTTTCCCGGATAAATAGTTGGATAAATATGTGGAGTTGTCTGTGAGGAATCATCTGCTTCTTAATGTAAAAAAAGATCAGACAGACAGTGATCAACTTCAGACGGGAGAGCATGATGATGTGGTGGAGTACAGGTATCTGTCCATAGAGTGGGTGTACACAAACAGGGGTGAGCAAGGAAACAAATTTATTGATTTAGAGGAGCTTATTGAGTAATAGTTAATATTTTTCCTTTTATTTACTCATTTATTTTCATGAAAGTATTTCCAAGAGGAGGAGCTTCTTTAGCACTTCTTGAGATGCTTAACTCACCTGTGCATTAGATGGCACTTCTGCACAAACAGAAGCTTCCATGTGTCATTTGAAACAGACAAAAGGAGTAAGGAGTGACAAGGAATTGATTTTATGACACAGAGAAAAGCGAAGAACGTGGCCCAATAGGTAAACATAGCATTATATACACCTGTAAACATATTTCTCATGTTTAAACTGCAGCTGTTCATTTCTTGAAAATCATCTGGAGGATTTTGGTCATTTCTTCTTTTTCTGCTTTCTGCAGAGAGACTTCTAGGTTTAGGCGTGCAGTTCTCACCTTCAGCACACTCCAGACATCAGTCTTAACACTTTAATGAAGCTTTGCTGTGCTGTGTTTGTAGTGTGTTTGTGTTTTTGTTTACTTCAACAGAAACAGACATTTGCAATTTATGTGCACACAGCATGTGAGCAACATTTAAAAACCCCTTGAAGATCTCCAGACATCATGCTCTTAGGGAGGTGACGGGTGGTCGCAACTTTTCTTACAGTGGGAGAGGGGCAAGAATGAGCTTGGCTAAAGGTATAGAGATATATGATGTTCTGTTCAATGTTCTTTGTGTAAGAGTGTCTGTGATAGGGTATATAAGATGTAAGGGCGGTGGCCACAATTCAGAGATGATCCTAGTGTTTTGGCTGGGATGTTTCTCTCCATATTGCAATATGTTATTAAACCATTTCAAAACGCTCACCTGGTTTGTTGCAGGTCATTGTTAAAATTTCCATAACAATTTGGCGTTGTCGAGCAGGGTTCCTCATGTTACAGGTATAGTCCTTTAATGAAGGCTGTGGATGGATGTGTGGGACTGCTCCTGGAGGTGTGCGTCTGAGTGAGGGAGAGAGGAAAACAAGGGGATCACGAGTAGCTACAGAAGAAACAGAAAATAAAGGCATTAAAAAGGGAATATAACAACTCCCACAGCAGCCCGAGGTGTGAGCGATGCTCGTTCTGAGTAAATTGTTGGAGCCTGTAGAGATGAGAATATTATTTTACTGTTACTATTCATAACCATTATTATTACTGTTGCATCATTTATGATTTATCATTATCATTTCATTAGAGCATTTATTGAAACTGTTGATGTTACATTAAAGTCTGTATTTCAGGTGTGAGCATAATTACAAAGCATATTTACATGATAATCTTTCATTGCAGGTGCAACCGTAATCATCTTATACAAATTGCATTTTTGTGCTCATTAAAGAGTTGAAGATCGGTCAAGTTAATTAATGGTTTGAAGCTACCGCCGACGCGATGTTCGACCGATCAACTGTGCAAAGTGACCCACAGCTATTGAAAGGATTGCATACATGCTTACAGTACAATTTACCACATATTAAAGGCCTGTGTGCCCTCAGCAGCCTGTTGCAAGTTTGCCTGGTAACAGATGACGCAGAGTAAGGTCATGCACTGAGGTTAAGACACAGACACATAGTCTGCCTGAATACACATACACAGTATTTAGACTTGTTTTGCTCGAAACTGACTGCAAAGTTGTTTACCTGCATACGTGACAGTTTAGTTCTACAAATAATTGAAGTGCAGTAAGTGAAATAACAGGAAGCATCCGGCGGTGGCGGAGGAACAGAGGAAGGAACTGTTCTTTTTTAGAATATGTCCTAGGAGGAATTACTGAAATTGATGCATGTTATCTATCTGCTTGGACGCACAAGGGGCGTTATATTTCCTGATACCCTGATGTTATATATATGACACCCCATTTATTGTTCGGAGAAGATCGATGCTGTTTGAGTGATCGTGCTCGGCTTCCCACATATATGTGGGAAGCTATTGACAGAAACAATAAGCTCTGTAGTGGCAACCCCTTCATCACAGGCATGGAACTAACGTCAATGGCAAGCGTAGCAGCAGCCAATATGACAGGATTTGAAGCTGCATGGCATCTCACCCCGCCACCTTCAACTCACACCAACCCTTTCTTAACACCAGTAGCAAAGCAGAATGCAGTGTGTAGCGAGTTTAAGCAGTTTCAGTACTCAGATTGTGAAGGCCCTGGAAATATTACATCTACACCACTTACAGTGGGACAGCATGGCACACATGATCACCTTTCTTGGATTATTACATCCCCCTCATGCAGCCAGCCATTCACCGCCATGAACTGTACGTGCAATGTCCCTATAAAACCACAGTTTACTGAGCCAGAGAAGCTACATATTATGCCAGGTACACCCCAACCTGCCCAATTCAGCTATGAAATGCCAGCTCAGGGCTACTTTTTCCCGACACCTCGCATGGTAACACCACCACCAGCAGGGGTGTGTGGGCTTTGTAAGCATGGCCATGGCCACAGTTCAAAACAAGCCATGCCAGGGCCACCAGCACTTGGAGAAGCATCAAGTGCTGGTGGTTCACACAGTTGTGCAGCCTCGCAAACCCTCTAGCATCCCGATCAGAGTCTTTAACCCTTGGGCTACAGCTGTTACCGCAGTGGCTGGGGTTCTTCAGCCTGTGCAAGTCCTGGAGAGGTCGGGGAATCACCCACCAAGGGTCTTGGCAATCCTCGAGATTGATAGCACTGCCCCTGCTTCTGTGCCAAACCATTGGCAGACCCTGTATGCTGAGAGCAGCCCCGGTTTCACACACGTTTCCCATTGCGGACTGACAGGCCTGCTGAGGTCCTATGGTGATGTCTTCTCCACTGGCCCAAATGACCTTGGTCGCATCAGTGTCATCCAGCATGACATCTTGACCATGCCAGGGCCACCAGTAAAGCACTCGCCATGCAGGATGGCAGGAGACAAACAAATAGCGGCCGACCAGCAAGTACAGCAGAGCCTGGAGGCTGGGTCAGCTCAGCCTAGCAATAGCAGCTGGGCTGTTCCAATTGTGATGGTGAAAAAGAAAGATCAGAGTCCCCGACTGTGTGTGGACTATAGACCACTAAATGAGCGAACTCTTAAAGACGCTTAACCCCTGCCACGCATCCAGGATACCCTTGACACGCTTTCTACTGCCAAGTACTTCAGTACACTAGACCTGACATCAGGATACTGGCAGGTAGAGATGGCCTCCAGAGCCCGATAAGATAAGATAAGATAAGATAAGATAAGATAAGATAATGTAAAGAGATGTACTCTAAAACACTTCTTCAGTTGAGAATCAGAGAAGAGAAATACGCAGAATTTCTTGCTAGCAAGGGCAGCCTCCAGAACTGAGACTCGCCCTGAGGAATGCCCTGGTCCTTTATTTATATGCTTCAGTGAGCGTTTGTTCCATACATTGAAATGTGGAGGTGTACGTGTGTGTGGTGTGTGTGTGTGTGTGTGTGTGTGTGTGTCCATAAATGACTTCCCTAAACCCTAAACCAAAAGGCACTTAGACTAAGACAGATATAGCTACGTTAATCCTACCGTAAAACAATAAGACAAGGTACGACCTCTCCCATGCTCCTAGGATGTGGGGGTGAACGCCAGAACACCCTGGAATGTTACAGACCTCCTAAGATGAGACATTCTTTCAATATGCCACCAACTATATACTTCTAAACACAAGTGATTACATGCAGTATTCTACCATATGCAAACTTATGTCATTAAAAGATTATACTAACTACTAAGTACAATTTTCCATTGACATTCCCTCCTGTTGTCAGTATAACTATAATATATCTAAGTGAGATATCAGTATGTAACACCTTGTTGTACATTTTCTGTCACATCGTCATTAGTCACACAAAGTCTTCATGTTACAACAGGTCGGAGTCATTATCATCACTTGCCACGGCTGTATATGCAGCAACAGTAGAAAATATTATGCGGTTAATCATGAGTTTTAGACATGGCAGGACGCATGTTACAAAGACACAAATTAAAAGTAAAATTATTTCAACTCCTTTTAGCACCTGTAACCAGGAGCCAGTGTAAAGCCAGGAAAACCAGTCACTTGTATCACTTACATAGTCCTGATTTTGGGCCTGCTGGATCTGTCTCAAAGCATTCAGGGCGTCAGTCATGTCATGTTCAGTCATGTACATCGTCCGGTATGTAAGTGCAGCAGGTGTTATTGAAGAGGATACAAAGTCCCCCTTTCTCTGCTAGTATCATGGAGTAGTTCTTCCCTGGGAGTTGGTCCAGGAACACATATAGTGTCGGGTGTGTTGACGTACTGGCATATGAGAACAGACATAATAGTCTGGATTTGCAGATTCTGTCTTTGTCCTGTCGTGGATATACTTATGGCTCTTCTACTGTCCATCCTCTGTAGAAAAACCTCCTCTGTGGAAAGGGTGCTGGGTCCAGTTATCTTACTGCTGTTATGATCCCAGCAGTCTTCAGTCTGCCATCGTATGCACAGTATAGTGACACAGCATTAGGTGATTGTGGAATATACGAGGCACAGGTACACGCACACGCAGGTTGTTATTGCCAAGTTCCACATTTATTCACACGTTTCACAGGTTTATGCTTTTCACATAGACTGACAGCTCATTCCCAGCTGACGTGTGTCGCTTTTTCTCTCGCCACCGCTCTCCGTCTCACTATAAAACAGGGGAGGGAAAACCATCGTCAGT